ACACACTTCCCTCTCCCCAGCACCTGCTTTTACCGCTGAATAATTGAGGCTCGTGCAGAATGTGTAAATCCGAGCATGAAATTTGATTTGACTTTGGCTCACGCCTCCAGGCGCACGGCAAACGACTTTAAACTGCGCCAAAAAATGAAATCAAATTGTAAGCCACTGGAGCCATATATTTATGCATTGAAGCGGGAGCAAGTTTAATTATTTTCCTTCAAATAAACTCAAATAAAAGCACGCAAAAGTTCAGCTTATAAGCCAAAGTGTGCCAAAGCAATGCAATTTGCAAATGAAATTTGCCCATTAAGGCTGCAGTTTCGGGCTCATTTATGGCTATGTTATAATACAATTTTGTGTCTCTATTTAGTTGTAGTATTTAGTACACAAATCGATTGGATGAGCAGCAATTTGCGTGTGCTGCACACAGCTGCCATGGCAACCATTGCGAAAAAGCAAAGCAATTTGGCCAAGGATATTGTTTCCTCGGGATTTGTCCAACTTTCCCATTGAAAGTTAGTGCTGCCAAGCATTTGATTTTCGTTTCGATATCAGGTTGAGCATTGAGAAGGGTGTAGCTGCCAGTGCCAATTCAATTAACTTGTTTACCCACCGACTGACGGCTGAAGCCGCACGGCGGGTGGTGCCGTTCAGCGCGGCTTGTGACAAGTTAATTTGTTGCACACACCGCACCGTGCTTTAATATGCTGCCAAAACAGTGATCTCAACACAAGCAAAACCACACCTGGAGATATGTTTAAAAACAGACAAAAAACCAACACACAAATGGCCCTCATATGCAGATAGCCAAATGAAAATATTTCACTTGATTTTATGCAATTTTAATTAAACTCCCAGCCAAGCTCCCGACATTTCCGCTCTTTTTATGTTTGTTTGTTCTGCTTAACCTGTGCTGCGGTGGGTTTGTGTGTGGGGGGAATGTTTGCACCTGCGGCTAGGGCAAACAGCCAACACACACACACACAAACAGGCCCAACACCTGGTGCCAGCGGCTGCCGCAGGTGCACAAAATGGACTCCTAGAGGCGGATTAAGCGGCGTGCAGCACGGAAGGGAGGACGGAACTCAGGCCGGCGCTTATCAACAACGAGTCAGGACTCCGACCCCGAGCACGACGCATGGACACTCACTCACATTCAATCAAGCGGCTCCTTTGTCGCGTTTTAAAAATGATTCTGATTATCTCTGTGTGTGAGTTCACTCTCCTTCTGTGGCCTAACCACATGTTGCCACTTTTCTTCGTATTTGCCTTCGTCTCACTTTAATGTCTCTGCTGCTGTGCTGCTATCGCATGGAGCTATCCGTTTCCGGGCCCTAATCGATTTTGAGCTAAACGAAAGACCCACTGACAAAGCCAGCAACAGCATCTGCATCCTCTGGCAATGCCGTTGACAATGCCAAATTCCAGGAATACATCGGACAAGACGAGCGAAAGAGAAGTTTCTTTGAAGTTAAAAAACCACAGCTAAAAGGGGGAAGTGGATGTTGTGGCAGGGCTGGTGAATACATCGATACAGAGAGCGCCAAACATCTGTAGGTACTTTGATTAATTATCGCATCGGTATTCAGTGTAATTTAAAGTCGAAAGTTGAAGCTTTCTTAGGCCTAAAGTTCCCGGCGGTTGTCTTCTGTTGTTCATCAATCGGGGGGGCATACATTCACCATATGTTATCTTATTCATGGGTTATTCTATATTCTAGTCTGTAGCTTTTACATTTTACAAATGTAACCCCCTGCGGGCGACGCCCCTGCTCCGCTTATGCCTGTCCTTGCTGACTTTACTTTTTGGCAGTTTAAAGCGACAGAGAAACCCATTGATTTGCCCCAAGGCAAACGCAGACGTGGGTCTAATGGAAGAGTCAGAAACATTTGCCAGATTACGGATTGATTCACGGCTCTGACGCCATCGCCTCGGGCTGGGGGCAATGCAACTATTTATTTAGCCCGCAGTTAAGTTCTTCGAATCCAGCGAGGAGCTGGAGCTGTGTGCCTTGCAGCTGTCACAGTCAGTGGACCGGACCTTGGCTTGCAGTTGATTGAGTTCGTGTTCGTGTTCGTGTTCGTGTTATTATTGATTTGATTTTGCTATCGTCAATTTGCAGTTCCGCTGGCAGTGAATACATCATCGGGCTGTCAGTTTGCAGTCCGCCGAACACTCTTCCAAGTCTAATAAACTTTGAACAGGTGTTTGAATATTTCTCTGCACATAAATCAAAATGGGTTTTTGAACTACGCCGCTGGTTCGGGGTCGGGGTTCACTAAGCTCTGGCAGCTCCCGGCTTCATCTGCATTCTCCGTCTACCACTTGCCTCCTCTGAGCCTGTCTCATGTGTGGGTATGTGTGTGTGTGTGTGTGTGTGTGTGTGCAACCACAAATATTTTGAAGCGTTGGGGATGCGGCTGTGAATGGGGAATAGAACGACGACGACAGCGATGATGATGAAGATGGAGATGAAGATGGAGATGGAGGCGCATAAAACTTGTTGAATTATTCGGTTCTGGGACATGGACGTGGCTTTGGAAATTCTTTGGCTGCTTTCGCCAGTTACCCCTCGGAATTTTTTATTATTATTGCAAATTAAAAAAGTTTACATTGGCTTAACTATGAGAACGCCACGGCAGCAGGACCAGCCCGGAGCAGATCTGTGCCAGGCTCAACTATGTAAAAGCCAAGTTTGAGCTGAGAATGAATGAAGCTTGGGACCAACCGATTTGCAAAAGTATTTTCAACACAAAAAGTGTGAGTGCCACCCAAGGCAGGCGGCTGTCTCTCACCTGGATAACCCCAACCCGTACCCTGTCCCTCAACGCTGCGTATTAGCAAATGAAATTCCATTTTCACAGGTGGGCGTCTGCTGGTGATTATGAGCTGAGGACTTGCAGCCATCAAATTTAATGCACAACAAACCAAGGCAGCCAGCACAACTGGTTCTTCCCGCCTGCCTGCCTGCCTGCCTGTGGGCAGGACGACGCTCTGTTGGCGTTTGCCGGTGCCAGTGGTGTGTGGTCTCTGAGGTCAGCCAGGCGCACAGTTTGCTCCATAAGTGTGTGTCCGTGTCCAGCGGGGGGGTGTGGGATGTGTTTGTGCTTTAAAACTAAATGGAAAGCGAAAGCTTGGAGTTCTAGTCATTTATTTATTTTTGCCAACTCATTAGAAAAATTGAAATGTCCCCCAGCCCAGGCCAAAGGGTGGGGGATCGACATAAAAATGCCAAAATGGCAGAAATAAAAGGAAAAGCACGCGCGTCGAAAACGCAACAAAAAGAAAAAGGGAAGGTTTATTGATAGAGTGACTCGGCGGGGAATTGATGAAAAGGCATTGTCAAGGCCCTACTCTGGGCTTACAATGCTCGCAACTCGAAGAAATCGAGTATCCCGAGCTGTTATTCCATAGATGTGTGTGCATATGCACAGAGGCTTTGATCTATCTCTGGCACGGCCTCAACATGAATGGGGCCAGGAACTTGTCTAACAATTTGACGCTTTAATCCGTCCCTCAATGACGACAGACAGACAGTCGGAAAGGAGGAGAATGATGGGATGGCAAAACTGAAAAAAAACTCAAACAGCTCCAGTCTGTCTTCGCTTCAGTTCGCTCAGCCAAAAGCAAGCTGAGATTCATTCAAACTGCCATGGCTATCCACGTCTCATTCCTTCTCTATGTGTGGAGCTCTCAGCTGTGTGCTGGCTGTCTTTTATGTCTTTCATTTCTTTCTGGTGTCGTATTATGGTAATTCGCAACGAGTCCGATTAGAGGATCCACGAACATGTGGAAGAACGAGTTTCCCTTGCTACAGCTGAGCCTGCTCCCATTCTGTTTGTAACTGAATAAAAAAATCTATTATATACTTATTATTAAACTAATCAGCATGCAAAGGCAAAGGATTAAATTAAATCATTTAAAACTGATTGTTGTCTGAAAAGAGCTCAGAGTCGGGCCAGAAAAGACTTCACATTCTGGTTTGTTTAAGGTGCAATTGCTTTTGCTTCTCGCTGTTGGTCCTGGCAAATGAGCTGGCCAATGAGTGCCAGTGGGACGCTGGGACCAACTGGAATGATGCGCTCTGTGTCGCATCTGCCACAAGCTGACACTGAACTGGCAGCTGCTCTTGACCAGAGCAAGCCAGATGGGGTGGAAGCAGATTGCTTCAGGATTGCAGTCCACAGTCTCTTTGCCTTAGTTGTCTGTGTGCTGATTTGCCACTTGAGACCTGTGTGCCCGGCCATAATTTAATATCATGCGAAATGAGTTTATGGCAATTGCAATTTTATTTGCATGGCCAGCACTCAAACCTCAATGAACACCGACTTACATACACAGGGACATGTGCATGGCCAGAGCTGGGAGTTTGTCGCTGATTCGATTTGAGTTTCTCAGTTAATCAATTGATTTTTCCTTCTGCATTTGCATTTGTGTGTTACCTGTGGAGCTGTGACCAACAGCTTCCATTCCACTTGCATTTCTTTCTATCATAAATTGCACATTGATTTCTATTGGCATTTTCTCGACTTGTATTGCATTGAGTGCCTCGAATGTAATGTTGCTGTGGCAACTGAATTCAAGTTTCCCACTTCTCCCCCATTGTCTCGCCTTGAGCGTTTCCTTCCTTTATGTGTAGGCTTCATTAAATTTTCAATTGTCGCGCGCGACATAATCAATTTTGATTGCCGAACAGCCAATAATCCCCCAGAAAACACTTACGGAATACATAGCATAGATGCTCGAATGAATGGCATTTCTCTGTAAATCTTTATGTTATAGCCAGCAAAGTGGGAGGCTTTCAGGGATGGCTGTGAGTGGTGTGTCGCATTTTAGAGGAAATCAATAAAGCGCCGCCGCCCACTCCCCTCGCTGGGCGTTACATTTTATTAGCGCAAAATGATTTCATGTGGCAAATATTTGCCAAAATTGACGACGACCGACTGACCGCCCATGGCTGTCCTAAATGGCATTGCTAATGGCCGACATTAACGGGGCGTATGCGCAATCTGCGTTGTCATGCCGGACACGGAGTTGGCTTTAAGTGCACTTTGGCACTCAATCCCCCAATCCCCCAATCCCTCTTGTGTGTGCGTGTGCAGTTAATGTTCGCTCATCGATGGGGCTACAAACGCGATTACAGAGCCAAAGTTATCCGCAACTTTTGTGTATGTTTTCACGTTCTGCCTGTCTCTCTCTCTCTCTGTCTCTTTGCAGGCATCTGGTACAACAGTGACCGTCGCGATTGGGTACGCGTTGCCGGACGATAGTACCCATTGTACCCTGTCAAAGGGTTGAGACCATCGTCACTGCGCAAATCATCTTCCGCCAGCAGCAGCAGCGCCAGCATCAACAACGCCTGCCCCCCGCCACCGCCCACACCGCACCAAGTGAACACCAGCAACAGCAACGGCAACAGCAGCAGCTGCAGCACTCCGCACCATACACAGACATCGTCACATTCCCAGCAACAGCATCCGCATCCGCACCAGCATCAACATCAACATCAACATCATCATCCGCAGTACCAGCACAGACGCAGCAGCAGCTCGAGCCACAACAGCCACGCGGAAAACACGAGTAGCCTGGCCACAAAACCGGCCATCAATTTGCTCGGCAATCAACTGCAGGTCAACTACTTCGAGTTCCCGCCAGCCACTGCTGGCCAGCCACTGTGGGTCAGTCGCGGTCGCAACACAGCCTCCACCCCGGCACTAAACACAAGCTGCAACTCGTACTCCAACTCCAACTCCAACTCCAACTCCAACTCGAACTCGCACTCGCACTCCAACAACAGTCAGTACAGCTCGGCAGTTGCCAAAGCGGCAGCCACAACAGCTTGTACACTTCTTGCCACGTGCCACGTGTCCGGAGACTCAGCCCAACAAGAGCCACAAACACCAAGCAGCAGCAGCATGGGTCGCCGTGAGATAAAACGCTCCAACACCAGCGGCTCCACCACCAGATCCTACGACAGCGGCAGCGGTGAGTAGAAAAATACTTTAAGAATGGAAACCCCCAGCGCAGATCTATCTGCGAGTGTATTCGCTTGAATAGAATTCAAAAGAGGCACAGCGGTTGGAGGCGGGAGATGGGATCCTGCCTAATCGCCTTACGTTCAGTGATTGGGGGTCTGTGGATGCCACGGGAAATGGAATTAGGCTGGCAAATTAACTCAACGGAGATTTGTTGTCAAGCTGTCATTGTCCTGTTCAATGTTCAATGTTATTTGCTGTCCAAGCTGAAGAGGTGTTGAATGGGAAAGCAGAGAAATAATGAAACAGAATATTGGAAGAGCTTCAAATGGTTCGGAAATTAGTTCCTGCTTCAAGTCTATGTCTGGGCTGCTCCTTACCATATAATAATTAATTTATATTGTGGCTTTCATTTATGACTTTAATTAAATAAAAAGAGTGGACAAAGACCCAGACAGAGACAGCAGAGCCCGTTTTGCATCAGCCTTTTGTTGCAATGCGAGTCTCGCACTCGTAGGAAACATTTAACGACTAGAATTTCGGTTTCGGTTTCGGTTTCATCCTACAGCTAATCAGGAAACTGTGACTGCAAAAAGCGGGTCTACTGTCTCATTAAAACTTAATTGTAAATGCTGTGGCTGTGGCTGTGGCAGTGGCAGTGGAACACAAGCTAAAAGCTTTCCGTGGCTCTGACTAGGAGCAGCTGGAGACTATGTTGGAGAGGCTCTGATCACAGCCCTGGTACAGGAAGCACTCGTACATGGAGCCCAGGTTCCGGCTGTACAGACTGCAGCAGAGCTGCGAGGCGCGATGGCAATGGCTGCCCGGCTGATAGTCCAGCTCCTCGGGATATTGCAGGGCATCTGCAAAGGAAGGTGTAAGCCTGAAGGTCATTGAAATTTGTTGTTCCGTCAACACTTACCTTGCCGAAAGGAGGGTAGTGGCTGAAGCCTGGGCGGTGAAGCCTGTGGCACCTCGGGCGCATCAAGGGGATAAGTTTCCTGGAGACGTTCATCGGCTGCAATTAAGAAGCGTCGGCGTGTAAACCATCGTGTTAAAGTGCACGTGTGAGTGTATGGGTGAGTGAGTGTTTTAGTTGGATAAATGATGGATTGACTGACTGACTGAGTGGATGGCTGAATTTGTGTTGTGCTTTTGGTTGGATGCTGCAGACATTTGTGTACCTTCGGGGGTTGGACTGCTTGCTCATTCAATTAATTAACAACTGGCTATAATTTATGCCATAAGTTGGCAGTGGCATCTGCTGATTGCATCAATTATGAAGGTGCAACATGCAACAATAACAACAACAAAAACATTATTATAATCCATTCCCACGAATGTAAGCAGCTTAGGGGCAAGTACAGACCAGACAGCAGCCCGAGGAGTTATCTTCCTCTGCAATTGGATGTTGTAGGTGTAAATTGTATGTTGCTGTGCTACGTAATAGATGGCTAATTAAAAGATAAGTTATCAATGCTCGGTGGCAGCTGCCAGTTGCCAGTTGCACTGGCGGCAACATGGCCAATTGTAATGGTTGCTGGGATTGTGTAATTGCGATTGAATGCAGTGTACGGCAGTGTACGGCAGTGGTAGAAGCCACTCAATTGATATCCAATTAAGCCAGCAGCCATCGCCCGGACACACATGAGTTGTGTAAAGGACAAATTGTATCGGGCAATTACGAAACTTTAATTCGATTGTTGAGTGGATGATGATGATGACACGACACTGATGAAGTGAAGCGATGATTGAATAACCAAACAATATACAAGGACTGTAATTGTCAGCCCATAACCATGAGTTAGTGTGTGTATTCGATGGGTTGTCAGTGTGGTTGAGTGTTGTGTGCTGTGACCATCGCCATCCTTTTATGCAGGAAATACTCTTAAATCGCAGTGCCTGGCTGTTCTTTGTTAAGCGGGCAACATAAATGTAAACAGAATCTTCACGGAAAAGCAAATGCTTTATTATTGTTATAAAGTTGTGACTTATGCGAGTAAATAAATTAAGCTTTTGTTTTGTTGAGATTTTGGGGTTATACTTTGGCAGCTTGGGCACCACCACTACACGACACGACACGACACGACACGACACGAGGCGACACGAGGCGACGCCTACGGATAGTTGTCCAAAACTCGGGATAACGCACCATCGAGGACGCTCTGTTCAGCGCAGGGATTGATGTCCCAGAAGGCGCCGCTGCAGCCGAACTCCTCGAAGCAGTTGTAGCGAATCTTCTTGCTGTTCTTCGAGCAGCAATTGACGATCGCCCACACACAGTTGGTGACCTTGGGCGAGGGTGTCGGCCTGGGCGTCGCTCTAGGCGAGTTGGGCGCGGCAGTTTGTGCCGCGGGCCGGAAGTCCCATGGCCGAGCTGTCGTCCGCGTCGATGACCAGACGGGTCGGCTCTCTATTAAGTAATTTACAAAGATAGGGCAATAGGTCAGGATGAGTGGAAGAACAAGCGATAGACAGCGATAGTTGGCGGTGGCAGGTTAGCGGCAAAGCCTAATCATTAATCAAACACACAAAAACACTCTATCTTTAGGCAGGGTAACTGAGTTTGGGTAGCGCTTATGACATGCACCTACCTGGACGTGAGTTGCTGCTGGGTTCCCAGGCTTGACTGTTCGATACAGTCGGACTCCGGCCTGCTCCAGAGTCGTCGTTGGGTGCCGGGCTGCTGGAGATGGGTCTGGGCTGATTGAATATCGAGAAGTCGGCCAGCGCTGGGTCCGAGTTGTGCTCCAGAAAGTCGTCCCTGCTGCCAATGCCGTTTGGAACGGCAACATTGTCGTCGTTTTTGTTCTGCCAAATGGGCAGTTTGCCCTGCAGCAGCGGCTTCTTACCCGACACGGGCAATCTGCCAAGGGGAAAATGTTGTTTGGAAAACGATTTATACAGGCCACCGTGCAGGATTCTGCTCACCTTTGAGCTGGCTGTGCTGGCAGATAGTAATAGGATGGTGCCGGTGCTGGATGCTGGAAGTAGACCGATTGCGAAGGCGTCTGGTAGTAGTTGGACGGGCCCCACGGTGCATAGGCCTCACGACGCTGACGGCTGTGGTACTTCTTGGGGCCAATCTTTCGCAGCCACTCCTCCTTTGTGGGCTTGACCAGCTGCAAGGCCTCGTCTAGTTGCTTGACCGGCATCGCTGCCAGGTCATCGTTCAGCACAATGGGCTTTTCGGGCAGCACATCAAAGTAGATCTTCTCCTCCTCCTTCTCAAGCTGGTGTTCACGGCGCTGGTGCTGTGTCCGCGAGTGCTTCCTGTGCTTCTTGTGGTGCACCAAGGTGGTCTCGTTTTTGTTGGGATCTGCAAGGATCTGCCATTAGAAACTGATGCTTGACTTACTGCTTCTTCACTTACCATAATCCTCGCTGACGAAATCCTCCTTGTACATTATTACCGGATGATCCGCCTGCAAGACACCATCCACCATTCTCATTTGATGGATCTGCAGCAATACATTTGAGGGGTCAACAAATGGTCAGAGTGGAAATTTGTCGCTTTTTGTTTGCTTACCTCCACATTGTCTGTGTCCGGGGGCAGGACTGCAATGTCGATCTCATCCTCCGTTGAGGGTCGACTGGCTGCCTGGGCGACAAGACACAGCAGGAGGGTAAACAGCAGAGCCGGAAGTCCGCTGCTGCGGCTGCTGCTGCGGCTGCCATTCGAGGGCAAACTTCGATTCATCTCCTTCAGCTTGTTGTGGCGTCTGCAATTGGCAGCAGGCAAAGATTGTGCATTAGTTTCCGTTTTGCCCTCAAGTCAACTTTGTTCTCTGCAGTTCAATCTCAATTACTTAACCCCACAACCCCCCATATACACCACTCAAACACACATACGTAGAGGGAGGGAGCCTCCCCTCTGGTGTTGCAAAGTTTTGAAGTTGTACATTTTGTTGCGGCTTTGTTCTGGCTTTCGGCCTCAGACTCTCACTCACTGGATCGGGATCAGGATCTGGCTTGGTTTTTGTTTGGTCTGGTTTGGTTTTGAGGTTTGTTTTAAATTAGACATCAAGTTGAGTTCAATTTTTCTTGGCTTTTGTTCTGCCTTCGCTGTGCTCTGCGGTTAACTTTTGAATTACTTTTTTTCCCAGTTTCAGTTTCTGCTTCTGTTTCGTTTTCCATTTATTTATGTTTTATGTTTTATGTATTTTTATTCTTAGTTTTCGTCAGAGTTATTGCAGCACGTCGAAAGTTTGTCGGCCATCAACCGATCAACCAAGCGGCAAGGCAGAAACTTTGCCAGTTTAAAGTATTTTATTTCAATAATTTAATGCACCTTTCCACTACTAACCGATTGTTAAGTTGAGTTAAATTCAATTGATATTTCAGTGCTTCACTTTTGTCTGTTAGATTCTGACTGAGACGAGCACAAATGCCTGTGCTCAATATATAAAGGAGAGGAAAAGTTTAGACAGCTGCCATGGTCACGGTCATGCTCATATCTCTCTCTCTCTCTCGATGCCTCACATTTCGCTCTTTTTTTGTCAACAGTAGATAACTGATATCAAGACAACAAGCAGCAAGATGATTAAATATCAACAATTAGTCACAAGAGTTGGTATCTCTTAAGGGAAAAATAATAATAATAAAGTGTCCAACATCTGCGTCAATGGATACGTTCTATGTATAAGTTATTGACAGTTGTATTCCTTCTAGAATTTGGCCCCATTCATGCCCCACTAACAATAACTGAATCATTCGTTTTCTCGTATCTCGTAAACAAATGTTGATTAGACTTTGTGCTCGAAAAGGAATTGTTTTGCGTTCTGAGAATGAAATGCTTTGAAATTTACTGGAAATTCCCAGAGATCAAACGGTAGTAGAAGCGGGTCCCGGTCTTAATATTCTTCGGAAATGCCACTCATATATTATACTGTATATTTTTTAACCACAAGCCGAAAATAACATTTTACTTTCAAGAATTTAGCATCTGAACAGCAAATGTCGAACTGTCCTGTCAATTGATGAATTGATGAGAAAATGGCAGAAACAATG